TATGCAAGATATGATTTTGCAATAAAGAAATCATGTATTTAGTTGCAAAGAACCTTTAATGTAAGAAAAACGACTCAACAATTCCCGTACAGTCGTGTCTAACTGAAGTCTTATTATTCTAGATTAACCTTGTATACTTTAAACAAACTAATAATCAGGTAAAATTTCTTTGTGCTTCTCTTTCAATATCAATCCAGAGGAAATAGACACAATAAAATGAAATGGTGACAAAATTTGTTGCAAATACTGGATGTGCACCAACATTATTTACTGAACAAGAATTTAATATTTGAAAGTGAAAATCTGATATTTAAGTTAAATCCTCCTTTTATCAGAAAATAAGTAATAGATATACAGATAGACAGATAGACAGATAGACAGATAGACAGATAGACAGATAGATAGACAGATAGACAGATAGACAGATAGACAGATAGACAGATTGACAGATTGACAGATAGACAGATAGACAGATAGACAGATAGACAGATAGACAGATAGACAGATAGACAGACAGTCAAGTCAAAGATGATCCCTGGCGCCCAAACTGTAATCAGCCAATTATAGAGGAAGAGAAATATAATAATATTTTTAACGATTTAAAATTCATATTTCTTAAAACAACAGCAAGCAATGGACGAGACTTTGCCGACCTTTCTTCTAGTAAATTATGCACCAACCTTTACAGAAGAATCCCCCCTCTGATCTATTATATACGCCCCTGTTGTTTATCTAAGCAAGGGATCAAGAAAAGTCCACTTTAGATTATGTTGAACTATCCAGACCAATGTTTTCTCTACCTACTACCTCAAGGACTAGACTAGAAGTACTTTTAGATCTTGCATTTTGGAATTCAAGTTTACCCAAAATTATTGTTATTATTTTATTAGTTTTTTTTCAGGTTAAAACGATATAAAAAATGTGTTATTGTTATCCTTGCCAACCAATTATCACATTAAATTTTAGTACATCTGATAACAATATTGTGAGACAGAATCAGGTATAAAATATATATGATAAAAATATTTTCAATGATGTGTACAAATTCAGTAAAACAGTTTTTTCTCAAAATTTTTTTTTAAAATGATTTCTTACTTTACGTTTTACTCATAAAAGGTAGTTCTCTAATTTTGTTTATTTAAGTCGATGCTATAGATGAAATGAAATTATTTCCTAGGATAAGAAAAGTATGAGAACTAGACACTCAGTGTATTCCGCATAGACTGCACTGCATTGCACAACAAGTCCATTAAGGAAATTTGCAAAATACAGAAAACTGTATGCATGCTAATTCAAATAATTTGCTTATTGCAGAAACCAGTCCATACACCCAAAACAAGTATGTATACTTCAGAACCCGGTTCTTACACTGTAGAGTGCAGAAACCAGTTTGTAAACTGCATGAGAAACCAATTTGTACACTGCAGAAATCAGTTTGTACAATGTATAAACCATTTTGTACACTGCAGAAACCATTTTGTACACTGCAGAAACCAGTTTGTACAATGTATAAACCATTTTGTACACTGCAGAAACCATTTAGTACACTGCATAAACCAGTTTGTACAATGTATCAACAAGTTTGTACAATGTATAAACAAGTTAGTAAATTGCAGAAACAAGTTTGTACACTGCAGAAACAAGTTTGTACACTGCAGAAACCAGTTTGTACACTGCAGAATCAAGTTTGTGCACTGAAGAAACCAGTTTGTACACTGTTGAAACCAGTTTGTACACTGCAGAAACCAGTTTGTACACTGCAGAATCAAGTTTGTGCACTGCAGAAACAAGTTTGTAAATTGTAGAAACAAGTTTGTACACTGCAGAAACCAGTTTGTACAACCAGTTTGTACAACGTATAAACAAGTTTGTAAATTGCAGAAACAAGATTGTTTACAGCAGACACAAGTTTGTTTTCACTGCAGAAACAAGTGTATTCACTGCAGAACAGGTTTGTAAACTGCAGAAACCAGTTTGTGTACATTGCAGAAACCATTTTGTAAACTGCACAAACCGGTTTGTAAACTGCGAAAACCAGTTTGTACACTACAGAAACCTGTTTGTACACTGCAGAAACCAGTTTGTAAACTGCAGAAATCAGTTTGTACACTGTACACTGAAGAAACCGGTTTTTGAACTGCAGAAATCAGTTCGTACACTTTGCACACTAAAAAATTTATTTGTGAAGTACATTACATGATTCTGTTCAAGTATTGTATGGACATTTTGAAAAACTTAAATAAAAATTTCTTTTACCATTTTAACTTAAAAGGTTTCATTCCTGGCCTAAAACAAATGATATTCAGTTTTAGTTTTAATCTAAGATTATACTGTTTGCTTTGTTTTTAATTAAAACGTACTTCATAAATTAATCTGGCTTGATGCACCAAACTAACTTTCCTAAGTTTCATTAAAAATGAAAATAGTTTTTCATAGAAAAAATTTACAATAAAATGCTCTAAAATGTTTATAACAATCTTAAAGAACACGGTTGCAAAATTTACAGTGGGAATAGTTATTTATTTCTATTCGACTTTGAATGCTGCGTTCAATTGATCCAATATCGTAGACTTTAGATAAGTAGAAATCTGTTAAATCAAATAGTCTAATTTTGAATTTTTAAAGGTTTACACCAACAAGTTGAAAAGATATTGGGATGTGAAAATGTTTTTGTGGCAAAGACTCAATTCCGTTACACAAATTTTTATAAGTAACGTAAAATTTGCTAAATATTGTTTCTGAATTCAAAATTCGGGGTATTTCTTTGTCAAACAGATCGAAGAATAACATTTTAAAGATGGATCCGGGAAATATTACGTCAAAGCTTCTAAAGTTAAATGAAATCATACACGGTGCAATCTTGTCAGGCTATATGTGTTGCATAAAACGTGCTGAAAGACTGTACACTGAAAAAAAAAACTATAAGTCTATGTTGCCAGTTTTTTCTCTTCAAAAGGTCGTCCACGATCATTGACGAAGGGTCGTCGTTATCGGTCGTTAACAAAGGATCTTTTTAAAAACATTAGTTTTTTAAACGATAATTCTTGTAAAACAAAAAACGAGATCATTTTTGAAAATGATCGTTTTCAACTTTTAGAATTGTGGAATTTTACAAATTTTGCGGTAGATGAGGGCTCATCCCAAATATTTAATATCTGTAATCTTTAACAACTGTTTGTTCGATAAACCTTGTCTTTGTCTTCTTCTCCTCTGCAGTCTTATACAATAATTTCAGGGAAGACTAAGGAGTTTTGAATTTAACCAAAGATAATAAAGTTTAAAGATCTATTGAAGGCTATAAAATGCGATATTTTCTACAACGAGTTCCATTATGTTTAACTGGAGTACACGACCAATAGCAGACTTCTACATTCAGGAATATTTAAGGTTTGATACAAAACACAAAAACCTTTAAAAATAGACAAAATTCATAAATTTACGTTTTGTGTTAAAATTTATTTCTTTAAAAATTGCTCAACTTAACCCCTGAATGGGTAATATATGCAACAAGTGGCGGTTAGATGGCAGTCAAAAACCTTTTGTAAGAATATAGCATGTCGTGCCGGTACGACTATAGGCCTACTTAGTCCAGCCCGTGAAAGCTGATTAGCAGTCTGTGTATATATCCAGTCTATGAAAATGAATTTAACCAAGAAAATAGTATCAGTATTCAGTACCACTAAAATCTAAAGAACTCTGAATTATTTATCAAAATTTTTAACAGTCTGGACTTTAAGGTGTCACAACGCCTTGGGCGTTGGTTTTACCTCACCATCAACCTATTTATACATTTTTGTAGCCCTAGAAAGGTTTAATCTAAAACTACTACGCACTTGTTTCTAGAGTAGGTTGAAAAAAGAAATAATTCCCCAAATACTGCTCGATTCTTGCGTTAAAGCTGGCCAATCTTGGTTTGCAATACAGATGTAGTTACATCATATCGTGTCAAATCTCAAATCTCAAATCTCAGGGCCAAATTAATTAGGCACGTGGATTTAACGGTTCTGTCAATATTTCAGAAAGTTGTGACTTTCGATCACATTTTGACCCATTATACATACAAACGTAGCCTTATTTCTGAAATACCTTTTTGTCGATAAATACATTTTGAATGAAAAAGTATAGAATAAACAAATCCGTAAGTTTAAAGATTTTGGAATTATCGACCAAAACACTCTTGATTTCAGATAGAAGAAACCAAACGCTTCTCACTCTGGTTAGTCAAGGGTGGAGGGCCAGCCTAATTTTTATTGAAAAAAATAGTCCAACTGGGATTGGGTTAAGAGACAAAAAGTGTTATCAGTTCTCGCATTAATTTTCTATCAAGAGCAATACTAAATGAAAATGAACAATGTGAATGTGAATGTGAAGTCTCTTTTACTGATGGTGAACCATTAATGGATAAAGACAATATATTGATATGTATATACATTTAATTTGGTTTGGTACATTAGTCCAGTATACTTAGTAGAGTTGATGTCTATGTATACTCTCTAAATTGTTATTAATTGAGACAACATATATATATATATATATATATATACATCCCCCTGCGCAGAAAAACATTTATTAAATGCATTGTAATTAGATAAAAATATATACATCTTATATCTTTAAGATTACTTTGCATAATGCTAATACAAAAAAAAATTTGATTGATATACAAATTGTTATTTCATAGTTTGAAATATCTAAGGTCTACAACATAGGGCTGCAAATATATTGGGATGAAAAATCTGAGTTTGTGGCAAAAACTCAATTCTTTTTCCTTTTGTGACTTATATGTTTCAGAAAAATATTTTTGACAAAAACGTTGAAAACATATTTAAAGTATATGAGATTCTGGACTGGAGAGTGGAGACCCATAACATCCTTTACGTATATTATTTGATACAAGAACATCTCAACAGAGATTACAACTGCATGTTTGATCCTTTACATAACAGATCCTGCATACTTATTACATGTATGATCCTATATTTACATAAAATAGATCCTACCTTATTTGAAGGATGGATTTATCCAGACTTGTTACAAGTACAGCTGTATCCGCTATATTCAAGCTGTTCCGCTGTTCCGAGACGACCAGGCTGTTCCGCTGTCCTGATACAGCTAGACTATGTCGCTGTCCTGACAATTGCTGTCTTGGAAGTTGAAGGCTCCGCCGGAAACTCTCAGGGGAACAAAATTGTCTAAAAAAACTTTGTTACATTAAAATACAAATATTAATTATATAATTGTTTACATTTTGAAATTTTTCATTGAATACGAAATGTATAAAGAAAATCTTTTGACGATTAAAACTTTTTGTCATTTAAAAAAAACAAAGTGTCCATCACTTTAAATGGACTGTTTGTAAGCGTTATTTCAAGTGACCCTCCATGCAACGATGGCAATGCCCTATTCACAACGGTTCCCTTAAATGCATTGTCCGATCCAGAATAAATTATATATCAATGTTTATAATTTTTATGCTACTTGCTTTAATTGTGGTTTCTCTACAAAAGTGAAATTATCCAAATTAAACACCTTTAAACCTATAAAACTATTCTATATTATTTATAATCTGTTTCAGGAGCGCAGAAATATATACGTTATATGTATTTCAGTTTTTAAACTACAAATTTATTAAAGAAGAATTATACTTAATGAAATGTTTCACGATCCTCAGTAGTCAAAATTCTTTAAACAACTAAAATTTTAAGATTTTTACACCACAAATTGTGTATTTTTTAAAAATATTACAAACATTTCTTTGCAATAATTTATCTTTTAAAAAATATAGCACTTAACTGCATGCAATACACAAATTATTATATACATATAAGAAATGTATGTATTTACTTAAAGCAGACTAGGTATAGGACTTGAAATTATGCTTACAGTCCCTTTAACAGTTTATCCATTTATGTAAATAAACACAATTATTTAGAACATGACAATGAAGAGTAGAAAGGAGGCTGTAAGAAGAGGGATAGGGAAAGGAGGGAAGGGGGAAGGAGGGAAGGGAAAGGAGGGAAGGAGAAGGAGGTAAGGGGGAAGGAGGTAAGGGGGTGTTGATGGAAACATTCTCTCTCTTGTCTGAATAGAGATGATAGATGAATTCATAATTTATTTATATTTCAAACAGTTTTCCTTTACCCCCCAGGAAATGGGTCATAAACATGTAAAAAGAGAATATTTTGATGAAAAAGTTGGCCGTGTTTTCTTGTTCCCGACTCCTGGTGATCTTAACGTTGCAAATTTGTTTTATTCACGTTTTAAACAAATAAAAATGTTTTTCTTTAGAACAGGATGAAAAGTTATTCCAAACAACTATTACCGTAAACAATGTTTTTTGTTTACAATGTTTTTTTCTTTGTTATATATTTAAAGAAATTGTTGACAATTGAGAAGGCAAAGTTTGTCAAAACAAAACATGGGGTAAATGTTATACTCGTGAAACAAGTGTCCAGAAATATTTCAAGTTGTCGAAAATCTGACAAATCAGAAAATTTTGGATTCAATCCTGAAAACAGTGTCTCCCCCCCCCCCACCTCTCCCGACTCCAGATGTCCGGTTAGTTTATGGTTAATATTAATAGATGAAATTTAAAGGGGGGGGTGGCCTAGGTGGTTTTACTTTGAAAAAATAAGTTTAATATAATAAGTCTGCATTTACTTAACATTTTAAGCTTGTTTTGAAAAAATTGTTTAAATTAATTACTTGAGTCATGTAAAAAAAAATTTAATAAATTGTTTAAATCTAAAAAAAACTCCATTTTTAAACATTTTTTATAACACTCTGTTCCCGATATTAGCACATGAATGAACACAAACAAAGACCGGAATGAGAAGAAAGAACAGTAAAGATTATTAGAACTCTGTTCTTAGCTTTCTCAAAAGAACCAATTTAAACTGTTTCCGGTTTTTATTTTAACCAACATTTGAAAATATTTTTATTTCCCTTTCTACCACTTTCAGACAATCTGGCTTGAAAGAGTCTCACGACTTAGTTTTAATTTTAATTTAAATATTTTGTTTTCTATTTTTCAACGATTTTTTTATTTTTTATCTGAATAAAATTGTAAAAAAAATTATCTTCGGTTTTTTATCTCGAAAATCAATAAATTTCTTGTCTTCGCTTTATAAAATTCCGCTCGTGATATGTGAAGAGGAACAGTACATGAAAATTATCAATTTACAGTTGGAAAAACAAAGATATCCCCATCATTAGATGATCTGAGAGCTAGGATAAGATTAAAGAATCCAATTAGTAATCACCTGTTTACAATATCATTGTTTCTATGATTATTCCAGGTTTGTGAGTTCTCTGATCTTATACCCTCAGACAGAGCAGGGTTCTCCGGTCTTAACCCTTGTAGGACAGGGTTCTCCGGTCTTAACCCTTGTAGGACAGGATTCTCCGTCCTTAATCCTTGTAGGACAGGGTTCTCCGACCTTAACCCTTGTAGGACAGGATTCTCCGTCCTTAACCCTTGTAGGACAGGGTTCTCCGTCCTTAACCCTTGTAGTAAGAGAGGGTTCTCCGTCCTTAACCCTTGTGGGACAGGTTTCTCAGTCCTTAACCCTTGTGGGACAGGTTTCTCCGTCATTAATTCTTGTGGGACAGGGTTTTCCGCCCTAAGTCCTGGTAGGACAGGGTTCTCCGTCCTTAACCCTTGCAGGGCAGGGTTCTCTGACCTTATATCTAGTAGATTAGAATTGTCAGGTTTGTTTCTCCGGGTACATCCTAAAAAGAGATTTGGCTCGGTTTCATACAGTTGTTCAATTCTTTAAAAAAATGTAAACATAAATTGTTTTAAAGAGAAAATTGTTATTAGAAAAGATACTTTTTTGACAAATTGTCATAATTGACAAATTGATGAAAGGAATTGAGTCTTTGTAACAAAATCAAACATTTAAACCCTAATATCTTTAGAACCCGATCTTGTAAACCTTTGATATTTCAAACTCTGATTATTTTATTTAACAGAATTCATAGTTTGAAATATCTAAGGTATACAACATTTGATTCCAAAGATATAGTGATTAGAAAATCAAAATTTGTGACAAAGACTCAATTCCTTTCGACTTAGAATTTTCTAATGGTTTGTCGTTTACATACTCCCCTTATTCCATCTTACGCCAAAAATATATACTGAATTCTGAACATTTTTTAACGAATGGCAAAACTAGAGCTTATTATAAAGATAAAGAAATTGAGTCTTTGGAACAAAATCAAATATTTAAACCTCAATATCTTTAGAACTCGATGTTGTAAACCTTTGATATTTCAAACTCAGATTATTTGATCTAACAGAATTCATAGATTGAAATATCTAAGGTCTTCAACATTTGGTTCCAATGCCATAGTGATTAGAAATTCAGAGTTTGTGGCAAAGACTCAATTCCTTTTAGATTCCTTCCAAACTAGCAAATATTTCATTGGTTTCTTAATTTTTCTTCAATTCTTTAACATGAATATAAGACGTGAATACTTAATTTTTATTGGAAAAGATACTTTTGAAATAATGTTCATCTCTTCCTTTAAACAGCAGATTTCATCAATTAAACCTCTGAAATAATATACGTTTCGTTCGGTTCCGTCTCTTATATCTCATTTCACGCAAACTTTTCCAACGAACTGAAATTTATTGTTAAGATGAATTTTAGATTCCTTCCCAACATATCTTTTTAAAAGTTACCTACCTATCTCCTGTTCAGTGTTGAGGTTTGATATGTTGTTTACTAATCCAGACTCAGGTCTACTCCATCCCTGGTTACCGCAAACTCTCAGCAGCAGAGGAGAATTTGGAGACGAAGCTGCAAAATTTGGCTGCTCTTTTTTCTGAGAGCTGTTATTTCTTCTTGTTGGTTGAGGGGTTGAGGACACCTGGAAAAGATAAAATTATAAATAAAAAGGGGTCAATCACGTGATGACGGTTTGTTATTTCTATTCAATACAAATCTTATTTAAAAAACCTTAAATACATTAAGCTACCCACAAAGGATGGGACGTTACAGACGACTGTACGGAACTTTATTCAGTCTTTTTTCTTACAATCTTGGTTCTTATATTGAATATTCAGATCATAATATAAAAGATTATTAGATCGTCAATGAAGTGGGTAACCCTGTGCAAGGTAAGTATAAATGCAACCTATTTTTGAACTCTATTCTTTTTATATGACCATTGACCGGTAATTTCCTAGCATACGATTTTTGGACCCCTGCCCCCCCCCCCCTCCCTCCTTTAAATTTAGTACATGCATCTCATATGTAACACATGGATATGATTGGTAATGTGACCGCAGCGCCAGGTTTCCTAGTCTGTCCTAGCCTCAGCGCCCGGCATCCTAGCCTGTCCTAGCCTCAGCGATAGTCCCCTTAGCATATCCTAGCCGCAGCGCTCGGCTAACTTACCCCTAAAATAATATAAAATAAATAATTATAATTTTGCTGAAATTTAGTTAGTTGCTCATGTATACAAAATTGATCAGAGGGGGGGAGGGGTGTCCAACAACCGTATACATAAGACGGACTCTATATGACCATATAACAGTTGACAAAGTGCATAAATTAACGACGAAATGTAAATTGACAAAATGTATAAATTTACGAAATAAAGGTTGACCTGACTTAAATTGACCAAATGTGTCCATTCTCGATAAAAAAAAAACAATTTGACCTATTCAACCATTAAAGCTTATAAATTCGATTTCCAATCCAAGTCAGGGATGGGGTGCGTAGTAGACATACTGAAGTATATGTTCACCCTCAAGGTTTTGTAAGATCAACAATGTTTCCCCTGGAAAATGAAGAAAAATAAAATGTTAAAACAATCCAGGTTTATAACTCTCTAGTGGTCTCCCATGTCCCCTCTAGCTATAAGGGAACATTCTAAATTCATCGGAGCACGTATGCCAATTCTCTCTTTATCAGCATCTTCCCCTATCACTATGGGGGGGGGGGGTATTCCTCCCTGTGTTTTTTTTGTTTTAACTTAAAAACGGTTTAAACCAGAACACTCTTCTTAATTTTTTCAACTTCATAGTTGTGATCAAAGTTAGAATTTTTTTTATTTTTGCTGCAGAGGGTAGGGTGGAGGACGGTGTTTCAAAAAATCAAAAACATTAAAAATAATATTGATGTTAATTAAGCTATGATCTGAAATAATTTTTTTAAAAGCCCCTGAAAAATGGATGTTATAATAGGTTTTACAGGTTAATATTGGTAAAAAATGAAAATAAGAATTTTCAACATTTTTATCACATACTTTTCATTTGTTTAAACCTTCCTCGCACCCTACCACTAAAGTTAGAGGTATACTTTTTTATAATTTTATAATTTATTGAAAAGTTGGACTTTAGGGACATGGATTAAACACCCCTATCTCAACTCTAATGGCAAAATCAAAAACAAAAACGGTCCTCAGCTTTACTAATCTATTCTATCCTATCCTTACAACTAACTGAAAGCTTAAATCCTAAGAAATCTGTAAAGTTTGAAGAAGTTCGACTGATCTAAGTTCTAAAAGAATGTTTCTGCTCCAAGCCTACTTCTTAAGTTCTCCCCACAAACTTTAATTTAGACTCCAGATACATTGTTTAGTGGAAAATCACTTTATCATATCGGATATGGTTCAGATGAAATTTTAATAATAGCAGACATTTTTATTTGATACTGAAACATACTAGCAGACATTTTTATTTGATACTGAAACATAAAAGCAGACATTTTTATTTGATACTGAAACAATCAATGTATTTATAAAAGACTTCCCCAACACCAATAAAGGGACTGTTACCATATAATTTCCAGTTTCCCTCCATACAAAGATGACAATTGGCACGATTTTTTACGGCACTTTTGATATCTTTGTCCGATTAAGAATGAGTTAGATATTCGTAAGTTTTTCTTTCTTTACTATCATTTGTGGTTTCTCTGTAAACGTGTTTTGTATACATTTCTTACATATAAGAAACAATGGAGAAATTATTAGATCTAAACAATTTTCAGGAAAACCAATTATTCTAGATACTTCCCACGTTAACATGGATAATACTAGTAGTAGTAGATCCTAGACCTATACCTGCATAATCTTGTCAGGACTGGTAGTTGATCTGGACCTAGACCTATACCTGGATAATCTTGTCAGGACTGGTAGTTGATCTGGACCTAGACCTAAACCTGCATAATCTTGTCAGGACTGGTAATTGATCTGGACCTAGACCTATACCTGAATAATCTTGTCAGGACTGGTAGTTGATCTGGACCTAAACCTATACCTGGATAATCTTGTCAGGACTGGTAGTTGATCTGGACCTAGACCTATACCTGGATAATCTTGTCAGGACTGGTAGTTGATCTGGACCGGAACAAGAAAGAGAGAGGAGAACCGCATCCTTTACTTGAAACCTATGAGTGAACAAATTATGAAGAATACATCAAAAATGATCATGATGATACAGAATTTGTATACAGCTAATGCATCAAAAATGATCATGATGATACACAAAGTCTCCGAAAAATACATCAAAAATGATTGTGGCGATACAGAATGTCTCCGAAGATTGTATCAAAAATGATTATGATGATACATGATGTCTAAAAAAATTCATTAAAAATAATCATAATAAGATAGAATGTCTAAGAATAAAGGATTAAAAATAATTATGATGATACAGAATGTCTAAGAATAATGGAATAAAAATAATCATGATGATACAGGATGTATAAAAAGATTGCAGTAAAAATAATCATGATGATACAGGATGTATAAAAAGAATGCATTAAAAATAATCATGACGATACAGGATTTCAATAAATAATGCATCAAAAATTTGTATAATGATACAGGATTTCCATAACGAATGCATAAGCACATGCTTAACTGCATTTTTTGTTATTTATGCCCGTAAAACAATTTTTTTTTAAATGTTGAAAATTTTTATATTTTTCATTTCCATCTTGAAAAAAACGTCAATTTTTTAGCCTATATTAACCCTGGGTTTCCTTAAAAAAATGTCAGCCAATTTGGTTTAGCTGTTTGGCCAGCTATAGCTGACATACAAATATATATGTATGAGCGAAGAGCTTTATTTGAGATAAATATTACCTGAGTAGGAGGAGATTTTCTTTGAGAAAACGGAGACCTTCGTGGAATATATTCTCTTTAGGAAGTTTTAAACTTAAAACTATTTAGAGAGAATTTGAAATTCTTTAAAAGATCTATTAAATAACCATTGGATACCATTTAAAATTACATTTTTTCGTCATTTTTTTGTGGAGGAATGGAGTTTTTGCCAAACACACTGGATGAATTACTCTGCCGCGTTACAAGACAGAGAGAGAGCATGCGCATAACTCCTTTGGGCTTCTGCTTTAGGGTTACTGTGAGCGAACAAACCCCTGATTCTTGAAAACACGACATCTAGAAGGCACTGCCTGATTCACAACGTTACCCTTAAAACCTTAATCTAATTAAAACGTGGATTGTAATTGTAAATAGTGCATTTCCATCTTTGCCCTGAATAAATCACTTCAGGTTACTAATGAATGTATAGTTTTTAATCGATTCTACAGGACTCCGATCAAATATTTTCAATCCGGTTTAAAGTTTCTTCCGTCTCCACTAAACAAACTGTACTTGCAGTGCAGGAAAACTTTAGCGAGGACTTGAAGTAAGTTTTTCTCCCAAGAGATGTTATGAATTCTAATAAAATCACTCAATATCTTTTACAGATGGTTTTGTGTAAGTACGCCAAATTAAAGGACTATGAAGTAAACTAAATTTTGGGCCGCTATTTTTACAAACCATTTTGCAGTGTTCACTTGCAGAGTTTAGAAAACCTCAAAATTAGACGTGTAACTAAAAAATTGGTTTCCAAAAAAAATATTTGTTTCGCCTTTTGTTCTGAACAAGAGTCTGCTTTTTTACGAACATCGGTTTATATCAATATCATTACATCTATACACTACAGATCTTGCCCGGCTACATTTGTTACATAAAACGTGTTGGGTCGACTCTAACCTGGTTAGTCCAGACTGGACGATACAGTACATATTGTACCGGCTTGGATTGGAACAATGTGGATAAAATTCTCTTTACTTTGATTTAAACTTGAATATATTCTGCCTGAGATCAAATGATTTACGAGGAGGACCGGGGGAGCCCTGAAGCATTAAAATATTTCTATAAATATGTCGAGCTTAACAAGAACCGGTTTTATACCTTTTCTTTCAAACTAGTGTAAAAAGGAGATAAAATAAAATGGAGGAAAATTTGATGATATTTTCTAACAAACAGAGGCCGAATTTAAAGAAACTGAGCCGCGGCTTGAATTTAAGACGCTGCTCAAATATGGTTGGTTCCTTGTATTCAATTTTTCAAGATTCAAGCCATGACTTAATTGAAACCGGTTTTTGGGCGGATTTAAGACGCGGTTCAAATGCATTGAATTCGGACTTAGGTAAAATTTGTCAGAAGATTGGAATAAAACTCAACGTATTTGAATTCTTAATACTCAAACTTTCTCTGAAGATTGGAATAAAACTTAACGTATTTGAATTCTTAATACTCAAACTTTCTCTGTTTTTTTTTAGTTTCAAAAACATGATGCAAGAAAAAAGCTCAAACTTGCTTTAAACTATTATCATTACCAACGTAGAAACATACCTTAGGCGTAGATGGTTCACTTTTCTTTTTCCTGTTAAGCAAGGGAGAACTAAAATTTAAAAAATGTAAAAAAAATTTGTAAATTTTTTTTCATGTAGATTATTACCTGAAGAACTTTCGCTCTTTTTTCGGTGTTTTCGTATTTTCTCTAAAATCAATTTTTCCAAATTGTTAAAAATTTCAGTCGATGCTCAAATAAAAAAAATCCTACTTTCGGAGTTCAAATAACTATTTATTTACTATTAGCGAGGATTTAACAGGGAGAACCGTTAACTTTACCGGGAATTTACTTTCGAGAATTTGTTGATCCAAAAAGTCGAGAAATCAGGAGGAAATGTCAATTTCCGAAGGAAATTCTCGCTATAAGTTAATATGTAGTTTTATCCAATTCTTTCAGCTAGATTATTAACCGCTTGAAGTTTTCAATAGTAATTAATAAGTATATTCCATGTGTTATGTTTTTGTTAAAACTTCGGAATTTAGCTTTATTTATCTAATAAATGCGAGAATTTTTCACCTAAAAAGCATCACTTTTTCTGCCTTGCACTATAGTTTTATTTAAAGTAATTATTTCCAATTTCCATTTACTGATAGCGCCGATTGAAGGATTCTTTACTCTAATTGGATAATAAGATAGATAGAAAGATAGATGTAACCGCCATACTATTTCTATTGGTTCAGAATAGACATCAAACACATGACTGAACCCTGATTGGATCAGGCTCCAATGGACTCGGTATACAGGAGTGTGGGCGAACAGAATGGGATAAAAGATTGCTCCAATTTTTAAAATTTTCCCTCCATGATTTTACCATATTTACTTTTTCTTCTAAGGTAGAAAGATATTTTTTTTAAAAGAAGTTTTTCCTTTCTGTATTTGTCCTATTTTGTTTTAAACTGTTTCAAAATTTTCAAGGAAAGCATATTGAATATGCGCAGATACTGTTTAATAATATATGCAAACAGTAGACAGAATATAATAGAAAGAAACTATAAAGAATCCACAATAAAGCTGACGCTGACAACGCAAATCTTTATTTTAGTCTTGTATCTAAACACACACTAATATATAACTATACACTTTGATACAGGGGGTAATACTTATATATTCTCATATTGGTAAATGCCAAAAATTAATTAATAAATCAAAAGAAATTTAAAAGGAATTGATCCAGGAAGGTCCAAGAAAAAAAACTTTTTTATGTCATAAAGGCAGAAATTCTATTTTATTTTTTTTTCGGACTGTCGACATAGTTTTAAATGACGGCTTAAAAAAAGTGAACTTTGAAACCTTTGTCTGAGAAAATGATGATTGTTTTTCTCGCTAAAATGTATAATCTCCAGTTTGTAATTCTTTTTAAAAGTGACTGGCAGATTTATTCAGCATTGGCAAAGAAGGAAAACGGCAGAATATAACATTCTTCCAGACAAACCTTTATTTATCGGGAATGTAACAATGTTTCTTGAGAGTACTTGAAATTACGTCTACAGTCTTTTTAAGATTAATCTGGGTATCTAGGCTTATATGCCAAAAACGTTTAATATTATCTCTTTATTACAAAGTCTCCTTCTTACTACTACTACTACCACTACTACTACTACTACTACTACTACCACTACTACTTCTACTTCTAATAATAATAATAATAATAATAATCATATACTCGAGACTGGAGTTCCAAAGAATAATAATTAGTTGGGCGGAAAAAATTACTTCCACGTTGTTGTAAGGAATGTTATTAACCCTATTCCTGCTGGGGGAGGGTTAATTTGACCTCCCCCCTGTAGTTTTTTTACATAACTCAAAAAGTATTGGTCTGAGGCTGTTGAAATTTTCTGACTTCTCCTACATACCCAAAGCCCTCCATTTAGGCCTAAAACCGGGCTTTAATAATAACTGCCTGAGTCCTCAGGCACACTGCCTGAATGACTGCTTTTTCCTTTAACAAACTAAATCTTTGTTTTGACACACTTCCACTTGTCAGATTTTAATAAAATTTAGCTTTTTTGGAAAGCCTTTGACATAAGGAAACGAATTGCACAAGTTTTGCGAAAAAAAATGCTAATTTTTTATGCAAACAACCTATCAAAGGAAATTTGCACATTTTTAGTTTTTCTTGATTAAAAATCAGGTTATTTAAAATTTTGCAAACATTTTTGCATATTTGAAATGGCATGGTCAAGGGCTTTTCAAAAATGTATATTTTTTCATTTTTTGGACAAATTTATTTTTGCAAACATTTTTACTATATAAATGGATTTTGCGATAACAAATTCAATTTTTTGCAAATTTGCAAAAATTGTTGCAGATTCTAAAAGTAGGGCATAAGAGCTTTCCAATGATGTATCATTTGTCATATTTGGACATCAAACATGGGATTTAGAGGGGGGGGGGTCAAATTGACCCCCCCCGCATATTCTGGTTTTCAAGCAGAGATAGGGTTAAACAATGTTAATTTTATTTTAGCAAAATTTTGAGAAAAATGAAATTCCTTAGATCATTTATTCTGTGAGGACTTTGAGCTGTATTGTGTATAATGGGGTCCATGTAGTAGTCTTGGGACTGATAGGACTGAACCCTGTAGTCCGAAGTATGTATAAAAGGACTGCATTGGTCATCGGAAGTAAACTCAGTCACTTCCCTGAAATTTGACAACTTTTATTAGTCTCAACAGTTTCCTTGTAATTTATCTTAAATTCTGAAATTTAGATTTTATAATTTAGAAATATTATGTTACGGTGTACAGATGAATAGACATATTTCTACAAAAAAAAAGAAATCTCCGAATTCGTTCAGTTTTACTTTATAGGTCTTTACATGTAAATCCCTTGTGTAAGGTATTTTTATTTTATTTTCAACTTCAGTTTTATCACATTAGAAGTGATTATTTATTGATTGCAATTAATATTTTTTTTAATTAAATATTTGTCGAATTTTGCAGCTAACTTTTAACGTAAAATCTTAATTTTCAATAAAAGTGTGTTCATTTGAAAATATTTCTGTGCAGAACATTTTAATGTGAACCTTTAATAAACCTTTGTCAGATTGAGAAGGAAAATGTCAAAATTTGCATTTTTGAAGGATAGAAAGACGATGATATTTTCCTCACAGTTACTCAGTTGAAGCTTCTAGGATGAGACTCCTGAGACGACTGTACAGAATGTAAACTGCAAGTTTTTTTGAATTTATGATTCCCTAGCTGCAACTGTTAAAATATTTTTTGCCGACTCGTGAAAAATGCCAAAAAAAAAGACAATATTCAAGGCAGAATATTTAAAAAGTTTTAGGTCGTCTTTATATTTTCATCCTTTGTGGTTCATTAGTGAAAACAACCAAGTCAAACAGACACTCAACAAATGGAGGAGAACTGTAATTACTTAAACAATCCCTTCCTCCCTTCCTCCCTCCACCCCTCCACCCAAAACAAATCTAATTATAAATAAAAAAATAAAAAAATTCCCAGTATAGGTGTAAAAAACAGTCCATGTGTAACTTTTTATAAATTAATTTAAAAAAACCAATATTCTAATCTTGAGCTATATTTGTAGTAAAAAGAACATATTTGAAAATTAATAAAGCATACCTTGTAAACCTGTTTATATTACTGAACTCTTCAATACGAACTTGCTTCCTGCTAATTGTTTTATTCAAAATTAATAAAAATTACAGTTTTTTTTCATTCAACATCAATATGAAGCAGGGCAGAATTTAATGAAATGGAGAAGTTGTTGAACTAACTACCGCCGCCATTTCGAATCCTTAATCACTCATTCATATCCTTATGATTTTTTAGAATTTGATTTAGGATTTGAACCGGGGGTCGGAGGTTCAGCGACTTCTCCAATTTATTAAATTTGGTCTCTGATATATATAAACAATGCGTCATCCAAAGCATAAATCTATTATTTTCAGGATTTGAACCTGCAGTACTTAGTTTAGCAACCAATCCATTTAATTAAAATTTTCAAAATGAGGTTCACCTTTTCTAAGTCCTTTTAATGTTTAAAAACTTTTTGTTTTGATTTAAAATGGTGACAAATAATGTTAAAATTTTCGTTAATTTTAATATTAATTTTAATGTCATAATATTCTTAATTAATTTCAGAGTGACTTCAAAACATTGACGGTAAAAAAAAAAAAGAAATGGCAATTACAATTATAAAACAATCCTGTATTGTGTATCAGAAGTATTAAACCATCTTCCATCCTGAAATAATGGAAATATATTATTACACCGACCATTGATCAACATTACAAAACCAACATAATGACAATAACCCAATCCCTGCTGGGGTACTTTTCTGTGAATTTCTATTGAAATCTGCTGGGAAATCAGAATGATTAGTTCAATTAAAAGATCAAACGACTTTGATGACTTTTATTTGGCTTTAACCAAATATGAAAAGGGTTGGGAATAGGCTGGTAGAAATAGGGGAATTAAATTAAATTAAATAAAAAGAAAAACACCATCTAAATTCTGTTCTTTTGTTGTTGCATGAAATGAGAGCTAGAGACTTTATTGTGGTAGATTTATATATATGTAAATATATATTAAGAATTTAATGTATCCGCATTATTTCTTAATGAGTAGGGATGGGTACCTTTTACTATTAAAAAAAATTTTGGAGTTCGTTATAAATAGATAAAAAAACTTGTCATTTAAATTCTAAAATCACAAAAAATGCAGACCACGTTTAGAAAATTCCAGGACGAACGAAATTTTATGATTATTGTTTCGAGAATCAAGCATGTAAAAGAAAGTTGAGAAAATGCCGCAAAATATTTCAAAGATCAAAGACGATCTTTCATGTTTTGTGGGACACCCTGTCTGATGGCTCTAATTGTCCAATATCAATAAGAAAATTACCAATTTGTATAATTGGCAGTTGTTAATATAAACAAATATGAACATATTAGTTCTATATTTCGTGATAGAATTATACTTGCTGAACATGTATAAACGGTGGTTCATATTAATTACGAACAAATAGAGTAATTACAATAAATTACTTCTCTTTACTTTCATCCATTCAATGTTTGCAACAATAGAACAGTTTTACCCCGTCAAATTCGTTTTACTTAAATAAAATTAATAAAACATTCGAATAGACTGTTGTTAAGCAACTCTTTATTCAAATTAAAGAGGCATGCCTTAGCTATAACTGTACCTTTTAAACCGTCTTTTTAGTCAAAATAATGATGATATTCTCTATATTTCATTCTAGAAAGATAATTTAGTCCCTGTACACCCCTGACTAACCAGAGAGAGAGGTGTTCGGCTTCTTCTTTTTGAAGTCATATGCGTTTTGGTAAATAATTAAACAATCTTTTAACTTACGGATTTTTTTATACAAAACGTATATGCCGTCAAAATAGTATAAAAGAAAAAAGGCAACAAAAATATGTTTAATAGGTCTTAATTGTGATTGAAAGTCATAGCTTTCTGTCATATTGACAGAACCGTTAAACAGATAAGGTGCAAAGAGTGTTGTTGTGAATCATGCATGTTCTCTTTAAATGGTTCGTAACTTGAAATTTCGTCAAAGAGTGGTAAACATAAAGATGTGAATATCTGACTTGCGAAGTTGCTCCTGTAAGCCATGCTACAGGGTGTCCCAATAAACATGGGAATTCAGTGACGAATTTGTTATCGTCTTTGTAATGGAATCGCATTGTAATACCTAATTTCAAAAGCCATAATATTATTATGTCTGCTAGAGTTTATTTAATGAGAATGGTAAATGGCTGTAAAGATGTGTCTATAATTTCTAGCTGCCTGCAAGATGAACAGCGAAGATGGACAAGTTTTCTCTTTTTGCATACTGTAATGTTCTTGTTTTACGAAGTACAGTACAACCGTAAACAGTCAAAACATAAACAAACAATTTGTAAGCATAGCAGACAAAAATCTACTAAATTAAAGAATTATTTAAATATATGATATAGGATTCGTCACTGAATTCAAATGTTTATTGGGACACCCTGTATCAAGATGAGTTCAAAGGAACTGTACGCCTAATTTCAAGTCACCATGGATGGCAATACCCGATTCACAAGGGTACATACTAAACATATATATGAACAATAATGTGGAAGGCATTGTCGTTTTTCTAGGTTTAAAAGTTTTTTTCTATGATTTCCTTTATGATTTCCTGCAGTATAAGGACCTGATTAGACAAAGCTATTAACCCTATCTCTGCTGGGGTACTTGAAAACCAGGATACTGACCCCCCCCCTGCATCACATGTTTGAGTCCAAATATGACAAATGATACATCATTGGAAAGCTCTTATGGTCCACTTTTAGAATCTGCAAAAATATTTTCAAACTTGCAAAAATTTAATTTTTTTGTTTGCAAAATCCAGTTATAAAGTAAAAATGCTTGCAAAAACAAAATGTCAAAAAAATGATAAATTATACATTTTTGAAAAGCCCATGACCATGCTATTAAAAATATGCAAAAAGAATTTGCAAAATTTTAAACAGTCTAAATTGTAGTTAGAAAAGCTGAAAATTATCAATATCTGACAACTGAAAGTGGGTCAAATCATTGATTTAGTTTGTTACTAAAAAAGTAGTCATTCAGAAAGCGTGACTGAGGACCCGGTTTTAGACCTAAAGGGAGGGCTATGGGTATTTAGAAAAAACTCAGAAAATGTCTACAGCCTCAGGCCAATACTTTTTATGTAAAAAAATACAGGGGGGGGGTCAAAATAGGGTTAGGAATATAGGGTTAAGTTACTTAACGTCCCTTGGGTCAAACAAATAAAAAATTACGCATTGCTCTACAAAGTTTTCGTGAAAAAAATCGCGCATTTAAATCTCAAAATTTTTTCGGGAAATTAAAAAAAAATTGCTTAACCACAGGAACCCCAACTGAAGTAAAATTTCTTCCCTTTAGAGCAGTTGTTAATAATTAAACCTTTTCCCAGCAAATTATATTTCTCATGATTTTTTCAGCAAATTTGCTTGAATGTGTCGGTAGAAATGTTACCAGAAAAAAGGTAAAATGTATGCAACATCACTGGTACAACTTGGTGACCTCGTAGCTTCTCTTACTTTGAGTCTATGCATGAGAAGAACAAATTCATTTAGTTCCATATTAGAAATTCAAAACATTTTTGTTCTGCTCAAAAACTCTTTAAATGAAGAAGTTCTGATCAAAAACATTTAAGATTTCAATGTTTATTTTTCCAGAGGTTTTTTTAGAAGGATCGTTTTTTCAAAGTTGTGCTAAGGGTTTTTAAATTTTAAATTGCTTAAAAAAGTGACTTTCACATTTAAAAACTGTAAAACTCCCTTTCAACACTTAAAAAGTCTTATCTCTAAACTGTATGTATGTAAAAGGACATCTCTATAAATGAGAAATTGTTTAAGGAAAAAGTTAAAAAATTTCTATTTCCCCTCTAAACACCATGACTTGCAAGACTGTTCTGTCAAAACACTTCAAACAAACATATTTTTGTGTAAAATAAATTAATTAACTGACATTGAATTTAGCCATAAGAAATATTATAAAACGTGGCCAAAAGCATGAGTTTATATTCAGAAAAAAGATAAGAAAATGAAAAGGAAAGAACAAAAAATATGATAAGTCATAAGATAGAAAGCAATTGAAGAACCTGAAAAGTGTAAGAGTATAAAATTAATGCGAACAGAAACCGTATTTAACATTTTTTATAGGGACTGTAAAGTGACCCTCCATGCAGAGATGACAATTCCCGATTCACAACGGTTCAGAATTAAGAATGAATAATATACTTATAATTAAGAAATCATAGAGGAATGATCTGAATTAAACACTTTTAAACCTAGAAAAAAGACAATATCTTTCACGTTATTAATCAGGTAAAGATGTCAAGGGTACCGTTGTGAGTCAGATATTGCCATCATTGTATCGAGTGTCACTTAAAATTACGCTTACAGTCCCTTTACGCAATGTTAAATAACCGACTTAGATGATTAATGAGCTTTTTTTGTCTTGTTTAGTGAACTATCAGATTTATCAGCTTGTTTAGTGAAAAATCAGATTTATCAGCTTGTTTAGTGAAACTGCCTGATTTATCAGCTTGTTTAGTGAAACTACCCGATTTATCAGCTTGTTTAATGAAACTACCTGATTTATCAGCTTGTTTAGTGAAAATATCAGATTTATCAGCTTGTTTAGTGAAACTGCCTGATTTATCAGCTTGTTTAGTGAAACTATCAGATTTATCAGCTTGTTTAGTGAAACTACCTGATTTATCAGCTTGTTTAGTGAAACTACCTGATTTATCAGCTTGTTTAGTGAAACTACCTGATTTATCAGCTTGTTTAGTGAAACTATCAGATTTATCAGCTTGTTTAGTGAAAATATCAGATTTATCAGCTTGTTTAGTGAAACTATCAGATTTATCAGCTTGTTTAGTGAAAATACCTGATTTATCAGCTTGTTTAGTGAAACTATCAGATTTATCAGCTTGTTTAGTGAAAATTTCAGATTTATCAGCTTGTTTAGTGAAAATATCAGATTTATCAGGTGGGTTAGTGAAACTATCAGATTTATCAGCTTGCTTAGTGAAACTACCTGATTTATCAGCATGTTTAGTGAAACTACCTAATTTAGTAGCTTGTGAAGTGAAACTATCTGATTTATCAGGTTGGTTAGTGAAACTGCCTGATTTATCAGCATGTTTAGTGAAACTACCTAATTTAGTAGCTTGTGAAGTGAAACTATCTGATTTATCAGCTTGTTTATAGAAACTGTCTGATTTATCAGCATGTTTAGTGAAAATATCTGATTTATCAGCATGTTAAGTAAAACTATCTAATTTATCAGCTTGTAAACCCACCTAAGATGATTTATCAGCTTTTGAACCCACCTGAGATGATTTATCAGCTTGGTAACCCACCTGAGATGATTTATCAGCTAGATCTGAGCACTCTGGAGAACTAACACTGGTGCTGGAAAGAGGAGCACGAGAACTGGATCCTTCTACAATAGATTGATAACAGGTAGAAATGGGCATCGTTTTCGTGACCAAACATCAATTTTTTGTGAACGATTCTGTCGTTCAGAATAGTAAAAATGAACTTTGAACAAATGACATTGAATGTTCAGAGAAACATTCTTTAGAAAAGGATTTTGTTTGACTGGACTAATGATTTGTTTTAACAAACTTTAAAAAAAACGATATCGTTTTTACTTAAAGAAAAATGTTATTAAACGAAAGATTTTATAGAATGAAGGACTTCACTGGACAAGCGTTAAGTGAGAAAACGAACAAAAACTCAGTGAAAAGTGAACTATAATTTTTAGAACGACCGAAATCAATTTATTTTACCGATTGAAAAAAAATAACGAAGTGGGTCTTTCACAAACGATGAACGAACGAAATAAAATAAAGTCTAACCCATTTCTCTCTTGTTATTGATGACGTTTCAGGGTGCGAAGTATGGGACAGAAGGACATAGTATAATAGTATTAATTTTTCGTAAATATTGAGCAGTTTAAAAAAAGTTATTAGTTTAACGTTGTAAAAACGTGATTTGTTGAATAAATTGATAATAGTTGTACGATAAATTATCATTATATATATAATATCATTATATTATAGAATTCATTATAAAATAACAGTTTTTAGGATTATATTGTGTTTGTGGCTTGAGAACAAATATGACATCTCGATTAAAAGATGTTTTGCTACTTTGGGGGAAAAACAATGTCGTCTTTTCTTTTTTTCCGACCTCTCAAGATATTAAAAAGTTTACTCTATAACTATTTTTAAACTATTTCTATAAAAACAGTAAACACATACCAAGACCTTGCTAAATTTCTTTTTATTGCAAAATAGTTTAAGGGAGGGGGGGGNTATGTACCGGATACCTATTTTAACACCTGCTGTCAATATTATGTACCGGATACCTATTTTAACACCTGCTGTCAATATTATGTACCGGATACCTATTTTAACACCTGCTGTCAATATTATGTACCGGATACCTATTTTAACACCTGCTGTCAATATTATGTACCGGATACCTATTTTAACACCTGCTGTCAATATTATGTACCGGATACCTATTTTAACACCTGCTGTCAATATTATGTACCGGATACCTATTTTAACACCTGCTGTCAATATTATGTACCGGATACCTATTTTAACACCTGCTGTCAATATTATGTACCGGATACCTATTTTAACACCTGCTGTCAATATTATGTACCGGATACCTATTTTAACACCTGCTGTCAATATTATGTACCGGATACCTATTTTAACACCTGCTGTCAATATTATGTACCGGATACCTATTTTAACACCTGCTGTCAATATTATGTACCGGATACCTATTTTAACACCTGCTGTCAATATTATGTACCGGATACCTATTTTAACACCTGCTGTCAATATTATGTACCGGATACCTATTTTAACACCTGCTGTCAATATTATGTACCGGATACCTATTTTAACACCTGCTGTCAATATTATGTACCGGATACCTATTTTAACACCTGCTGTCAATATTATGTACCGGATACCTATTTTAACACCTGCTGTCAATATTATGTACCGGATACCTATTTTAACACCTGCTGTCAATATTATGTACCGGATACCTATTTTAACACCTGCTGTCAATATTATGTACCGGATACCTATTTTAACACCTGCTGTCAATATTATGTACCGGATACCTATTTAAACACCTGCTGTCAATATTATGTACCGGCTCCCAATTTTAACACCTGCTGTCAATTTTATGCACATGTCAACTATGCTAGAACGGAGAAATACCTTATATAACCTTCATTTGTGGTATAAAACTTGATATATTCATTATATTCTTATTTTAATAAGAATTTAAATCATATTATGATATGCTATTATGATTCTATAATTACTCTTATCTGTCACCACTGTGAATTAAGTTTGCCCTTTCTCATACAAAAATCAAGCAGTATTTTGACAATTACTTCTTTAAACTTAAAGGGAGTGTTCGTGAAAAATGAAAGGGGGTATAGGCTTAATGCGATAAAAAAGAACTTTTGATCGCTTCTAATCTTATTTCTAGTTTCTAGTTTCTATTTAGTTGATTTTTCTTAACATGTTTTAATTGTTATGATCTGAGATTTACTTCTAAAAACATTTATTCCTGTTTCGAGGATTTTTGGTAATGAAGACGACATTTTCATATTTTCAAGGAATGTTCGAAAACAAGTTGGAAGCTAAATGTTATTTTAAAAAATAAAATCAAAACATATTATGAAAAATCAACTATATACAAATGTGGCGAAAGATAATCGCTGACTATAGGTTGTAATATCTGAATGATTTGTTTGAAATTAAATAGATTTTTTTACGGTCTAAGTCGTATGTTGCAATTTTCTGAATTTGTATAGATACCACGTTCTTCGGTATTAGTCGTTTTTAACAATTTTCTCAGCTTATAGACGCAACAGATAGAAGTAAGATTAGAAACGATCAAAGCGCTTTTTTATCGCATTAAGTCTATACCCCCTTTTATTTTTCGCGAACACTCCCTTTAAAATAGAAACATGTTCGTTGTAATATAAAAATGTAAATGTCTAGAGCTGCAAAAAGTATAAATGAAGTGGTGCAGCAACTCTTTAGAGTCAAGGCTTCAGACTAAACATTTGATCAATAAATTTTAGAGCTATCAGTGCTTACAACTCAGTAACATCTTGCCATATAACATTTCGCCATAAAGCAACTTGCCTAAGGAACATTTCGCCATATAACACCTTGCCATATAAAAACAAAAAACAAAATAATAACTTTTATTTAGTAGAACGTAGTAGTATATTTTGTAGTTTAGTAGAAAGTATATATGTAATTAAATAGAATTATGAAACATTGTTCAGCTATTTTGACGAATACATTACATAGATACATGTAAAAGTAGATTTAAATTTAGTGTAGGAGAAGTTGTTTATGTCAACCAAAGATGGTTTCCCCCGCTGAGTTGTAGATGCATGCAGTGCAGTACTTAGGGCTGAGCGCGTTCCTGGTGGAACGATCGTTCTTGCCCGAGAACGAACGGAACGATCAAGAACGATCCCATCGTTCCAAAAAAAACGAACTCTTAGAACGCGTTCTTAAAAATATTGGAACGATTAGTAAAAGAACGGAACGGAACGGAACGGAACGGGAATTGCTTGAAAAGAACGGTTAAAATCGTTAACGCGTTCTTATTATCAAGAACTTGTTCCAAGTTGGGAACGCATTTTAAATCAGGAATGTGTTCTATAAATCCTCCAGAAATATAGTTAAAGATTTTTTATTTAATCACGTGATTAAAGTGGGGGGAGGGGAGGGAGTTCAGGTACCTGACCCCCTGACCTCCCCCCACTTTAAACCCGCCATCCCCCCCCTTCCCCGGTCTCTGCTAAACTGACAACACTCAGAGTGACAGACAAACACAGTAGGTTTCAGTTTAACTCCTGTATATTGTACATATTAAGGATGTTAGCACTCCCGCCCCTCCCCCGCTCTCATTATACATTGCTCAGCCCAGAAATTATCTAAGCTTAATCTTTTAACTCTAAATTTAAAATATATAATTTAAAGTATTATTTACGGCCGCGAGGAACTTTTTATTAAAAAATCGTATTTTTTTCACTTTTTAACCAACTCTTTTCTATAAAACTTTTGTCTTGGATGGAATTGTTCGTTACTAAAAACGGAACGGGGGATGGAAACGTTCTTGATTAAGAACAGAACAAGAGGGATGCAACCGTTCTTCAACTAAGAACGCCAAGAACGGAACGGAACGGGACGGAACGGAACGAGAACGAAGCGATAAAAAAGAGGAACGAGAACGGAACGATTTAGCTGAAGGCCCTCGTTCTAGAACGGAACGGAACGATTTAAAAAAAGTCGGAACGTGCCCAGCCCTAGCAGTACTCCCGACATTGGAATTACTGTATTTGCGGATTTTTGAGTTTTGATTCGTGGATTTTATGGTATAATTTCATTTACATTACAATTATTTAATTTAAAAATTTATATATAGGCGAGTTGTTGTTATAAGGCGAAATGTTACTTAGGCGAGTTGTTACTTAGGCGAGTTGTTACTTAGCCGAGTTGTTACTTAGGCGAGTTGTTACTTAGCCGAGTTGTTACTTAACCGAGTTGTTACTTAGGCGAGTTGTTACTTAGGCGAGTTGTTACTTAGCCGAGTTGTTACTTAGGCGAGTTGTTACTTAGCCGAGTTGTTACTTAACCGAGTTGTTACTTAGGCGAGTTGTTACTTAGGCGAGTTGTTACTTAGCCGAGTTGTTACTTAGGCGAGTTGTTAAATGGCGAGATGTTACTGAGCCGTGCTCACACATGTTGAAAGCACGGGGTTATTAATCGTTTTTAACGTTCGCAATAGCGATCGTTTTCCGTTTTGTTTATTTTTTTTCTAAAAAGATCGTTTCGTTTTAAGAAATGGTTTCTTCGCCAAAATGTCAAAGTTTATAGTTTTTATTTTTGTATCAGGCAAAAATAATTTAACCTATATACAATTTTCGTCTTTTCTTCAATTTTTTTTCAATTTTTGTTTCTTTTTTAAATAATCATAAAACACGTTTATTTATCTAAACTATTTATTCAACCTGCTTTTTACATTGATTGTTCCCTTGAGCTGAAACCTTGTTTGTTCCTTTTACCAGATCATTTATTTTACCATTTAAAGGCAAGCATTCAGGGAAAAAGCCCTAATTACATTTTCAATTTCATGTATTATTAGTTTGGGAACCCAGCTTTGCCTTGAAACAAAGTTTTCTTCACAACAGTCAACCAATTCAACAAAGAACTTTTAAACCAATAACTAAGAACATTCGGGTCCGTCCCAGAGACCAATATTTCAAACATATTTTATATATATATATACACATATATATATATATATAAATGTTACAGGACGTTATTAGACTCTCAATCAGTGTGGGTTACCCCTGTGTTATCTCATATTAGATCCTCT